AATTATTTTCCTTAATAGTTGATTGTATAATTACTATGCAATCTTTCCTTTTAGAGTTATTTATAGCCCCATAAATAGGGTCTTTTACTTTGTAATAGAAACAAGTATATTATATACAGTTTATAATACTCTTCACATTTTCAAACAAAGTGAGTCCCACCAACACACAAACTTGTCAAATATGGCTGCTATTCTACTATACCAACGGTCCATTTTTTCCTACTAATGTGAAACAAACAGGGGCATAGTTTTCTAAGTGCTTCCATAAGAATTCATTCCTCAAAATCCACTTTAAATAGTAAATCATTTAGCTTAGAGGTATTTGAAATTTTTCAATGACTCCTCATACATGTGCTTGTTGCGTGTCATCTTACCAAGTTATTACACTTAGAACTTATCCAAAAGCCTGACAATAATACCCTCTCAAGAAGTTGACAATCCCAGAAGCGGCTACAGCAATGAATCAGAAGAAATCAATTTCAAAAGGAACAATTATCACAAATGTTTGCATCAAACCTTTATGAAGACGTAGCTCCCCAGCACTTTGCTTTTTCACATGGCCTTTTCCATTGGCATTCTCAGCAAGTTCCCTTTGCTTCTCCTTTACTTTGAACAACTTAATCATGGCTCCTAGAATTACAAAGTGATTAAGCATAATAACATGTTAGTAGTGTGTGATAACATTAAGCCCTTGTTTGAGCCCGATTTTGGGAAAAAAAATGCATTTTGGAATGGTAGACCGATGAAAAATGTGTAATTAAAAATTAAGGAAAAGTTCTGAGTTTGCGTATAATATTATTTTATTGGAAAATGTGTGGTTGAAAATGAGTTTTGAAAAAATGAATTTTGAGAAAAAATGGGGCTCAAACAAGGTCTAAGAATACATCAGAACCATTTTATTGGAAAAAAGAAAAATGCAAACAGATATACCCAAAGGCTAATGAAAAAAAATATTCCTGTCATCCTGTGAGTAGTCAGTTCAAGTCAGGCAGGAGTTCGATGTGTTTAAGACACACAAAATGCAGGCAAGTCAAGGTTAACAGCCCTGCCACTTAGCTGCAGACTTGATTGTTAGACAAGTTGCGAGCAAAGAAATGCTGCAAACCATCAACTCTAACGACACTCCCTCTCATAATTTAGTTTGTTTACAAGCATTGAACATTGTTTCCGACACAATCAGGTGCTTGTTCATTCTCCTCCAGCCCACCAATCTCTAACCTTCAAACCTTGAAAATAAAAATTATATGAAAGGAAAAGGCATGACAGAGAATTGAGAAGAGTTTGTCAACATTCAAATCTCCACACTTGTCTCATCAGTTTTTTAATCTGGAGTTTTCTCAAAATCTTCCACATTTTTAAGACCAATAATTCTACCCAATGGGATACCAAATAAAAAAATAAATAAAATTGTGCATAAATACTTCATCAATCCTTTTCCATGACTTCACAGGTTATTATAATAGGGAATTAAGAAAACCACTTAAGTCTTTTACTAAATATATTTGCCAATATCATTTACCCTACGCTCAGCTTTGCACACAACTAGGAAGAATTGTGTGATTATTTTACTACATTAAAAACCCTACGGAAAAAATGATGCTACCGCTGTAATACAAGTCTATATACTGATTGCCCGCTGTCCATGAAGCACAGTTATCTCTTTGCATCTGATCACATCATATAACTCTATTCCCTCTACTTAACCAAACAGGTAGAAAAAATTATCATAAGACTCAAAACAACTAAGCTTTCAAACTTCCCAATTTCTCGTATTTGAAACTATTAGAAGAGACTAAACAGTAATCCCAGCATTGAGACTTCGTCAAATTATGTGGTTACCAAAGCAATCTTGGCAATCAGGATTTACAAATTAATTTGGCAACAATAGTCTTCGCAAGGGACTAGAATCGCTGTCCAAGAAGCCCAAAGAGGAATCCATAAACATTAGGACGACACTAATAGTACCCCAACTATTATAAACAATCAAAGAAAAGCACAAGTGCAGAGCAGATTACGTGCATAACCAATGCATACTCTAAGAAACCCATATCATAATTCAGTCAATTGAATAATGAGATAGAACACCGATTCTACAAGAAGAAGAAACCATATATTATACAAACCAGTAAAAGAGCAGACAAAGAGAAAAAGAAAAAGGAGAAATAATAACGAACGTATCAATCAAGCGAATAAAACCTTGCCCATATTGCAAAACTTAAAAAATAATATTTGAATAAATTGTATAGAACACGAAAGAAATGTGCAGAGTTTCAAGATTGATGAATGTTCCGTGGAAAAAAAGGTTGATTTTCAGAATAACAACTATATGGATGAAGTAAAGAAGAATTGAAGAGGTGCAAAAAGAGCTTACCTATTGAGGACAGACGAGAGAAACAAAAGGAGACGTGAAATCAAGAAAGGGGATCGAAGAGATCAAAAGGAAAAGGACTTGGATTGAAATGGTGGGTTTCTTAAAAGTGTTAAAACAATCAATTGCGACACGGGGATTCCGACTCTAGTGCCACTGGACACGTGGCGTTCTCTAGTTTAAATTGACAACACATTGGTCCCACTTTCGTCTTTAGAACACGTCCGTCATGTTCCCCTGTTGTAAAAGTCGTGTAATTGTCATTTCGTAAACTTTTGAACTACTGAGAGCAACTCCAATTATGCTCTAAATTAGATTTAAAACTCTAAAATAATTGGAAATCTCTTCAATGAAGAAATGCAAAAGAAATGTAAAGTGCCGACAACAAATATATATATATATAAAAAATATAAATTTATATTTTTTAGATCCATACGTGAGATTCACAAGAGACAAAAAGCTATTAATCCACTTACATTCAGTTTTTCAGATCTTTTCATTGTAGCTAACAAAAGCTGGAAGCTGCTGATCGATGGATTGTTGTAGCGCACGCAAGGAATGATGATACAAGTGGAATCAAAAATCGGTTAGATTAGTTGTCCACGTGTATAATTTATAATGGTTTGTATAGCTGTTAGTTAATTAGAGTGAGTTAGTTGAATTCGTTTCTATTTATACACACTGAACTTGCAATGTAAGATGTATGATTTTCTTCTTTCTGAATATTAGAATTTCATCAATTTTTCTCCAATATGGTATCAGAGAATGGTTGCATCATTCGTCTTGAATCAATTGAATTCACTATTCATTTTCAATTGATTCTTCATCATTCATTCTTCTTTCATCATTTTTTCTTCTGACTCGATATGGCAACAAATAATGTTCCAAATCAGAATAATTTTCCATCATCGGTGAATAATTCAGCCATTGATGATAGATCTAAGCTTTACTATATACACCATTCAGATAACCAAGGGCTTGTGCTTATGTAACAGCTGTTGATCGGTGAAAATTATTCTTCATGGAATCGAGCAATGGTGATAGCTCTATCCGTGAAAAATAAACTTTGTTTTGTCGATGGATCACTACCAAGGTCGGAAGATAATACAAATCAACTTAATAATTGGATTCAGAGCAATAATATGGTCATATCATATTACTAAACTCAGTGTCCAAAGAGATATCTGCAAGTATTATCTACTCTGAATCTGTACATGGCATACAGATGGATTTAAAGGAAAGGTTTCAGCAGAGGAATGGACCTCGCATATTCCAACTGAAGCGAGAACTGATGAATCTCTCTCAATGCCAGTTATCTGTTGGTGTTTATTTCACTAAACTGAAAACATTCTGAAAGGAACTCGGCAATTATAGACCAATATGCAATTGTGAAAAGTGTGTTTGTGGAGGAAATAAGAAGATTTCAGAACATTATCAAATGGAGTATGTTATGTCCTTTTTAATGGGGGCTAAATGATACTTTTGCTCAAGTAAGGGGACAATTGTTGTTATGGATCCAATACTCACTTATTAATGATAAGTGTATTTTCTACACTTATTCGAGACTTGAAACTATAGAATTTTATTATTTTTTTGACAAAATACGACCTAAATTGTGTTATATTGCATCTCGCAGGTAAAACTCAATGTTTGATGAAGAATTTGAGAAAAGAAGCAAAATATGATGAAAAATGGTAAAATCCAAAGTTCGAGGATCAAATTGCAAATACTCAAGAAGATACTTTGAAGATTGCTAGGAGACAATTGGATTGAAATTAGAATTCAAAAAGGAATGGAACATGATCAAGGTATTATCAAAATCAATTTCCAATCGCTCAAGATATATTCCAGATTTTTAGCCGAATATTGAGGCCCATTTTTGGCATAGTAAACGTCCGAATTG